AGCACAAAACAGGAATTCATTCAACAGTGAGCAAAGAGACCAAAGCCACCACGAAGGCATCAGCAAGGCTGCCTACCTCTGATTAGGGCCCCTCATGTGGGTGGAAAGACAGTCTGGCCTACCGATGCCCAGCAATGCCCCGCAGCCTAATCCACTTCACGTGTGATCAGAGATTGGACATTTATGCTGTCCAAGCAATTAAGGTGGCCAGAAATTCAGAGGCTGACAGTGCCCAGGAAAAATTACTCACCTGTCCTTTCAAACATCCTTAAATTCCAAATATAACTTTTCACCTCAATTTTTAATCTGCTATTATATTCAGATTGCTTTAGTCTGCTTTACTTCCAACTGTAGTTAGAAGCCCTCTTACTTAACATGGTTAATCAAAAAACAGCCATTGGGGGAATCATCAAAAAAATTTGTTTTATTTTATCTTAAAACATGTACACTTATTTATATTAAAATTTATTTACTTTTTATTATGAGGCTCATTTTTTTTTAGTATCTGTCTGAAAATAGAGTTCTAGATCATATAGCTTATGTAAATCATACCACTTATATATCATCATTTCCCATTTCAGTTTCTTTGAAGTGAGAGAAAATATAGAAAATCTTGTAAAACAATGTGAATGCAGATTCCTATTTACATTTTTTAATTTTGCACAGACTTTCATAGTCGTCTTACCTGTATCTGATTTGACTGCAATTTTCTTTACTGATTTACTTTTTTTCCCAATGAAAAATGTATTTGGGGGACCGGCCCGGTGGCGCACTGCTACAGTGCGCCGCTTGGGAGCGCGGTGGCGCTCCCGCCGAGGGTTCGGATCCCACATACAGACCGGTTCCCACTCACTGGCTGAGCGAGGTGCAGGCGCAACACCAAGGGTTGCGATCCCGTTGCCGGACATGAAAAAAGACAAAAAAAAAAAATGTATTTGGCTTATGCAATCATTTCATAAAACAACTCTTTTTATCCTCATGTTCCATTGATTTATGTAATATTTAATTAAGTTACTGGGCTTTGATAATGAATACAACTGCCATAAAGGGGTTTTGGTATAAATACAACTTGGTGAATTTACAGCTCAACAGGTGCTAAGAGAGTGAACCAAGAGCACGCAGCGTTCCATGAGATCACCATATTTTATAGAGTGAAGGGAGGGCATTGGTTAATGCTATGGTTAAATAGCATTGATTAAGAATCAGCGTGCAAATCAGAGACGGAAAGTTGAATTTATAAGATGGTACTTTCTTGGAGGAACTGAGTCCCCAAGGCAATTTTCCAGATACCTCTACCAAAGCACCTGAGCCTCAGTTTCCTCAGCTATAAAATGATTTTAAATATAACAATAATAACTACTACTCACTCTACCTACCTCAAAGGATTGTGGAAGGGATTAAATAATATAATGTTGGTAAAGGTACTTTATAAATCACTGTACCTATGATATTTAGTTGAAGCACTAAGAATAAGAGTAACTACAATAATAATAATTTCATACAATCTGACTAATTCTATCCTTCTCTTGTATTTTAGTGTAACCCTGCATTAGTCCATTTCTGTTGCTTATAGTAGGATACCTGAAACTGGGTAATTTGTAAATAAGCAATAGTCATTGCTTGCAGTTTTGGAGGCTGGGAAGTCCAAAGTCTGGGGACTACATCTGATAAGGGACTTGGTGGTGATGACTCTTCACAGCAACACAGGATATCACATGGTGAAATGGCAGAAGCAGAGAAAGACAGATTAACCTCCTTACTCACTCTTCTATTAAAGCTATCAGAACCATACTCATGACCACCATTAAACCATCAGTGAATTAATCCATTCAGTAGGGCGTGCTCCTCACAATCCGATCACCTCATCAAGGCCCCACCTTTCAGTTAACATAACAGGACTTCCCATCCCTCTTAACTCTGTCAGAGTGGGGGTTAAGTTTCTAATACATGGACTTTGGGGAGACACCATTCAATCCATTGCACACCCCAATAACACTGAGCATTATTTATTTATTTATTTATTTAGAGCTGCATTCTACGTGATCATATAGGTCTTTAGCTCATAGAGCAATAACTGTTTGATTTTAAATGTATGAAATCTAGAAGGAAAATAACCTAAACATAGATTTTGTTTTCCAGGCAACTAAACTGCTAGCTAGACCTCCTTCTTCTTTAAACACAAATAGCCCTAACTTGGTGAGGGCCAGAGAGGAGAGACAAAGAAAAAACGATTATAAAAATATGGGTTTGCATTGCTTAGTGTTACATAGCTTTTTTTTTATAGCTTTTGCTATAAACCACTGATTACAAAGAATTGGTTGATGTCCAGAATCTTTTCAGTCAGGGTTCAATAATTATTTGTTTGCATAAGAGACACATGGTCCTCTGAAAATCTCTTTTTCCTCCAAATTATGGATTCTTAGAATTAATAGATAATTTTACTGAAAGGATCAGCCCAGTTAGCAGAAGAACAGTGATGATTTGGGATTATATTCTACTAGATAGCATGCTATTTTGAATTACCTACAATTAGTACGGTTTCACAATATTATCTGTAAGACAGCATTTTCCTTCCTTGCATTTTCTGCTGCTTTCATGTCATTGTTAGCACCACAATAAAGAAACCATAAAAAGCTGTTCAGGAAAATAATTTGAAGATGAACTTGTGCCCTTATAAACGACTACATCTGCAGCTCTCCCCCAGCTCATATTCAGAAGGATCTGCGCTCATCTGGTCTCTTTTTCTTTCTTCTAAAATGAGAAAAAATATATTCTGTGTGTAAAAATAAGCTATTGTATCTCAGAAAGGCGATGCGATGCTAAGTGAGGGTTGTTTGAATGAACAAGTCACGTTGCATTGTCTATTGAGAGCTGGCTGCCAATTGCTATTTTGGTAAAGAGTCAAGAAAAACATTCAAGAGGGCCCCGGCAAGCTTGGGAGAAAAGCGAGCAGCGCTTCCATTTATCAAAGAGGTGCAGAAACCTCCTCAAGTATTGTTAAGAGTCGGGGTGCAGCTGGGAAGCTCCTGCCTCACAGCTTTTCCTACTGGTTTTGAGAGCCACCTTCCTAAAGAGGGACCTGCTGCTCAGGTCTGATCGGGGACATTCGGGCACATATGCCAGACTACTGGAACGCTGAATGCCTCTTTCTTTATTCAGTACCTTCTTCAAGATTCTTTGTCACTTTTCTTGGACTTATCCAGGAGGCATGGGTTTTAAGATACCCAATAGCTCGGGTCTTGCAGTGAAATAATTGCTGCCTCACTGAAAGAAACCAGGCAAATTGGTTAGTATGATTAGCTTTAACAAACTGGGAAAATGTTAGACATGTGGCAACTTGCATTAGCAGAAGGAAATAAGTTGCTCTATTTTTAAAAGGTTTCTTTTCTTAATGTTGACATTAAGTTAGCCAGAGTAAGACTAGTCTGGTTGCCTAGCAGTCTCGGGTAGCATGTAACTAAAGCTAAAATGATTTACTTCATTTGGAAAAGGACCAAAATATGGGGGGTGTAAATGTGTTTTTATTGTGATGGATGAAAGAAACTGTTATTCCGCTAGGTGAAGTGACTTCCTTCTCTGTTCTAACATGATAGACCCTGGAGATGTGTTTCTGACACTTGAAATGCATTTTCCTTTAGTTCTGTAATTCTGTGATTCTTTTGCTGCTCTTTTGAATCTACGAGTAGTTAAATTTTTTCATGTGTTCATATGCCTTTGACATTGATGTGAAGAAACAAGTATTCTGGGTAGGAAAGGTCCTGATTGAAGGCAACAAGTGAAAGAATTTCTATATTAATGTGTGTGTGTTTGGGAGAAAATGGTAACTGCTACTTAAAGAACATTTCTAAAATTAATATTGCTTCCCTGGGCACTCGAAATAAAGCATCAACTTTCATCCTTTACATTCTTTCTCATTAAAATGTGCGGTTAAAAAAATTAACAGTTCTTTTGCAGTTGTTTAAAAGGAAAAATAATATAAGCTAATATGTATGCTTGAGTCTCATTTTGCAGTTTTCTCTTAATTATGGTGCCGGGATGTTACAATAATAATAATATTTAATACATGATAATCTAATCACTTTGGATCAAAAAAATCTATCATCTATTTTAAAATATAATAATAATAAAATAATAACATGTTTTAAGTGCTTACTGTATGCCTGGCTTTATAGTAAGTACTTTTTATGTATTAAATCATGAGGAAACTGAGGCCGGAGAAGTTAAGTATATTGCTAATGAATTCATAGCTAATAAGTGGGCTCTCTTAACCACAACATGCCGTATTGCCTTGCTTGAAATATAATTATTATCACTCTTTTTAAGCCCTTCAAATAGGATCTATTACAAAAATATCTTTTAAATAATTCTGTTGTACACTTACTTCAATGGATCCCATAAGTGAAAAAAACCTTTTCTTCTGGAAAATATAATACCATAGACCTGTTAATGGTCATTACATCTGCCTTACATACAAAGACAACTTTATTCTATGGCATCTAACACATTATACATACTTTTCTTAGACACATCAGTTGATGAAGCAGGAAAATGTGATTTGCCTCAATCATGAGAGAACATTCCTTTTATTTCTAGTCATCATATGATGAACTCTAATATTTGGATCTTAATTTCTTAATTTTTAGTTTCCTAATTTAGTTCTTAATCAGTTTCTAATTTCTCTAAGGAGTTTTGGGAAGTTTTGCCTTATTTATTTATTTTTTTGGTGTGGAGTTAGTAGCAACAGTGTTTGCCAGGCACCAGTAAGGATTGATACTTTTTTTAAAAACAACTTTTTGGAGATATAAGTTACATACCATAAAATTTACGTGTTTAAAATGTACAATTCAATGATATTAGTACATTTATAGAATTATGAAAATCGATATTTGATTTTTACAAATTAATGTAATAAAAATTATTTTAAGATGCTTGAATAAAAAATACTCCAAGGTTAATAAAAGCCATTAATATTTGTTGTATTCTTCTTTCCTTTCTCCCAGAAATGTGTGCTATACTGGCCAGAAAAGAGAGGGATATACGGGAAAGTTGAGGTTCTGGTTATCAGTGTAAATGAATGTGATAACTACACCGTTCGAAACCTTGTCTTAAAGGTAAGATTATGTAGTTATAGCTTTCTACAAAGTAGATGACATTAGAGGATTACATTTCTATTTTGAAATTATTAATCCTAATTAGTACTACAAGATTCAATTTAAACAAATTAAAAAATGTTAACATCAAAAATAAACTATAATCATTCCCTTGTGTGTTTCTTTGTTGTCAGCTACTATTAGTATGTGGAATAATTAAATTAATGTAAGTTGACATTAAGGAAATTCATTATGTAGGTGTTGTGATCTTATTTGCACTAATAAAACACCTCTGATTTAACCTTTTGAAAGCCTTTAATGAAAGGCTATGCTGGAGACTTGACCATGATTTTTTTAAATGTCATTTTGGCCTAAGCAGCTTTAAGGAAGGCCTGGAAGCAGTGAAAGAGAAAATCTGCACTTGTGGGTGGCTGTGGGAGGCAAGACACCCTGAAGTGTTGATGAGATCTTAAGAAACTTGGAGTTACAGTAATTTATAGGGACTTTCCCCAGACCAGATTATGTGATAGAAAAATTATCTTATTTAACTCATGGGGAGCAGATGCTGAGGAATGTTGCCATGGTATTATTTTTGCTTCTGAAGAATAACCACCCAAAGATTTCAACCCTATCTGCAGCTTCACTGCTGGGACGCAGCCATCACAAAGAGGAAGAGAGTGGAGGCGGAGCTGCACTGATGGTTCTAATTTGGAAGTTTGGGATAGAAAGGCACTTACCAAAACCTGTTTTCAACACATGTTCTCAAGTGCCTAGTCCATGCCAGGCCCCCACCCAGGCTCTGGGTTTTGAGATGACGTGTGTGGTGCTCACTCAGAGCATTTCCAATCTAGGGATCCCATGTAACTGTAACTTCTTTACTACTGTGATTCCTCACTGCTGTTAAATACTGGAATTTGGGATGAGTGTAGAAGTATTAGCATGACTGAATATGAAATTATATGCTATTCTATTGGTTTATATGGTTTTTAATAACCTGTCAGGAATGTTCATAGAGCAGGAAATACAACATATCCCTTTCTTTCTTGGCTACATTTTCACCTACCACTTAGTTTATTATAACACATTGTAAACACATATTTTGCATATGTTACATATATTATCTATATTATAGATACAGATACAGATCTCACTTAATAGAGGAGAGACTTTGAGATTGGGATATTTACAGTAAAGTTTTCTTAAGGTAAAAGGTACTCTTCAAAAATCATCTCGATTTTTTCTACCTAGTAATAAGTCACCAGCAAGATGGGAGTGATTGAAGGCATTTAGTATTGTGGTTTGGATGACTTTTAGTTCCACAAGTGAATGAGGCATTTGGTGTTGCTATTTTCAGCAAGGAAGTCACACCCAACATGTGAAGCATTACTGGTACACCTCCTGGCCTGATCACAAGACTCCAGACAGTGCCCAGCCCCTTCTACAACTCATGCTGGATGTAGAAGAAGACAGACTTGCTTCTGAAGGCCGAGGGCCTGTGGTTGTCCACTGCAGGTAAGGCATGAACTGTCCTTTCTGCCTCAGCAACTGCCCGTTCTTTGAAAAGTCATAGAGCAAGTATAAGTATGGCTTGGCTTACTGCATGCGACTTTGTTGGTAAATTAAATATTTATCGAACTTGGTTAACTTCCTAATAATTGAGTTGTAATCAAGATAATGCTTACAGAAATGAAGTCACACTTTTAGGGTATTTTCAGCAAATGGCAATTACACAGTGGACAAAATATGAGTTCTAAATAAACAGTTCATTGCACAGGAGACCTTTTACAGTCATCTACCTTGAAACTTATATTGATCTATTTTGTCTCACAGTCTCATGTACATTGGGTATAAGAGGTGCATTTTTAAAATTATTAATGGCTTTTTTGTTGTTTCAAAATGACACCTGAACTCTATTCGGATTACATTTTGATAACATTTATTATTATATCAAATTTGGCGAAAACCAATCACTTAAAACCACTATTTTAAGAGTTATCACATGAAAAACAGATGGAAACAAATGTATGAAATGGGAAGTGGGCAAGTGGTAGTTCGCCAAAAGGAAACTAAAATGCTGTTACCAGAACATGGGATACTAGAGGCCAGGTGACAGCAGCCACAGGTGTCTGTGGTTGCTCCTCCTACAGCTGATACCTCTTCCTCCTTATTTTCATTTTAGTGTGACTAAACTAAAGCAAGTATTTTCAAAGTCATTTATAGGACCAACTGTTTATTCTCCAAATAATTTGTGTTGCTTTATGCAACTCATAAGTCTCTTAAGATAGCTTTTGATAATATCTTTAATAAATAAAATATACTATTTTAGATTATAATTTTTGCCTCCTTTTTTGAAACTTTGTGGTTTAATTCAGAGTAAAATCAACTATATGTCTATTTATCCAAAGGTAGAGAGCATTGGTCTCATTCTAAACTTAGCTCAGAGCCAAGGAAAAACAAGCTAATTGGCTAATTTAGGGCTTGAACTGTGCCCCACCCAAAATCATTAAACACTCAGGATATCTAAAGTGAACTAGCCACTTCCCCTGTAAAATCAGCTCCCCTTCTGATTACTATTTCTAAGAATAAGACCATCTTTTTTCCAGTTACTCAGCATCCAATGTTGACAGTTATCTTTGGCCCTTCTTTCGACTCCAGTCTCAGTATCTAATCAGTCACCAGATAGGCTTTCTCTTCAAAGCTTCTCCCATAATCACCACTTCCTGTCCAAGCATCATAGTTCAGGTCCTTCTGACCTCATTCATGTATTGTAGAAGTAGTTGGCTAATTACACACACATGCCCTTCCATGTCGTCACTGCCACTATGGCCTATCCTGTGCACTTCTTTTGAATGATGTCCCTAAAATCATCTTTCATCACATGGAGTCCCTGCTCAAAACTTGTTGACAGCTTCACATTGTCTAGAGCAAAAGTCCTTAACCGTGAGTCTGTGAATAAGTTAGAGGGGTCAGTGAACTCTTTAAAGTTATTTGAACAAATTTGAGCGTAAAAGCTTATGTGAAGTAATCTCAGGCTTGAAAGTTCATAGTTTTCATCAAAATCTAAAAAAAGAGAGAGAATCGAGTATAAGGATGAAGTTCAAACCTCTCAGCCTTCCATATAAGAACCTTCCCAGCCTTATTTCTGGCTGTTCCACTAAAATAATTTCCTCTTCAAGCCAAGATAGTCTACTTACCTTCGCAAATCATATATTCTGTTTCCTATCAATTCTTTCCTTATCCCATTCTCATACCTGTGATATTCTCTCTCATTCACGACGATAGCCAAAATGCTTGCCATTCCAATCCTCTCTCTTCAATGAAACAAACTCTCTATAGACACTTCAACTAATAAGAAGCAGTTCCTCCTCTGAATTCCTCTGCAGTCACATCGGACAGGAAACAAGTGCCAAATATAAGAAATAAATGCTGTTTGAACGCCAAGAGGGGAGCAATTAGTTCCAATCATGGGGATTGAAGACAGCCTCTAAAAATTGGAATAACGTTGAACGGGTTCCTACAAAATGATCAGTGTTTGTTGTCTCAAATGGTGGTGGCGAGGGCATTTCTGACTGAAGAAGTATCATTAACACAGAAAGGAAGATGGTAAAAGAAAAGGCTTTTTTTTTTTTTTGGCAATGATTCATTTGAATGAGAACAATAGCATATGGGACACAAGGAAGACAGCAAAAAAAAACATAAAGCTTGAAAGTTAGTCACATTCAGATTTTGCAAGGTCATGCATACCATGGCAGGGAGGTTGGAGATTATGCTATAGGTAATGGGAGCCATCTACAGTTTTTGAGGAAGGAGTGATATAATTAAATCCATATCTTACGAAGGTGAACCTAGCAGCTGTGTGTATCATGAATTAGTCCAGGAAAAGACTTGAGACTTGGAAACCATAATGAGATCACTGCTAATCATGAAATAAGATGTTGAGAACGTGAGTACTGTCTATAGAAAGAAAAGCACAGATCTCAAAGGCTCAGCAGATATGGAAAATAGAAGAATTGGGAACAGATTGGATGTGGGAAGTGAGAGAGGGGGAGAGATGTTGACGGTGGCTCCAAGATTTCTAGGCTGGAAAACTTGTGGCTGGCTGGTAATGCCATTGAGGGATAAGATAATTAATTCTGTTTTAGATAATTGAATTTAGATACACTGAACTGAAGCAAGTGCAAAATAGTAACATCAAGAGTTCCAGCAAGGAGATGGAATGCCAATCTAGAGTTTAGGAGACATTTAGGGAGTTTAGATGTAGATTTGAGAGAAATTTACATAAAGACTGTTAGTGGTTAAAACTGATGAGAAAGAAAGAGAGAAAGGGCTTGTTGGGTTGATTTTGTGGACGACTGTCTAAGGCAGATGAATGTGTGAACGCTCCAGAACAGACAGAGTGGAAACACTGTCAGTTGTCACCTCTATATTAACGACTTGCAAATATGTGCCTTTAGCCATGTCTTCTCTCCTAAATTGAATTGCATCTTTGGTATTTGCTAGACTTCTCAATATTAGTTCTCTGTATCCAAGACCAGCACTCCCCTCCCTCCCTCCTTCCCTCCCTCCTTCGCTCAGATCTCCCCTTATTCCAGAATTCTCCTTTGCCCCCGTGACATCACTGTCCTTCTCGCCCTCCGGGCCTAGTTGTTTTCTGAGTTTTTGCTTTTCTCCCACTTCAACTTCAGTCCTCCAGACTCACATTTGTGATGTGTCTAAATTTCCCCTCTTTTCTATTGCCTATACATTACCTAAGTTCAGGTCCTAATTATTCTCTCTTGAACAGTTAAAATGTTTTCTTTACTATTCTCTCCACGCATCACCTTCCTCTACTCTGCTCATTCTACTCCTTACAACTAATTGAAAGAATGTAGCTTGAGCACTTAGCGCAGGTCCCAGTTTGTATTACTCAACACACGAGTTGTTATTATTATTATTATTATTATTATTATCATTATCATTATTAACTGTTGTTTCAGATTTAAAAGTACCCTTTTTAAAAAATGTACTTTATCTTTGTCATTCTTCCCTACCTTTTTATTCCTCTTCTTTTCTTTTCAGTGCGGGGATAGGTAGAACGGGGTGTTTTATTGCTACCTCCATCGGCTGTCAACAGTTGAAAGAAGAAGGTGTTGTTGATGCACTGAGCATTGTCTGCCAGCTTCGTGTAGACAGGTGAGTGTCACGGGGACCTCACTTCAGAGCAGCACTGTCAGTCACAACCTGATCCGATCAGCCTGACTTCGTAAACATCAGAGGCTCTGAGGTCCTAAATCCCTGTAGAGATTTCTGTAAAATGCTGGAGAGTATATATGAGCGTACTTCAAAAAGTTTGTGGAAAAATAGAATTAAAAGATAATACAGATTTTTTCATGAACTCTTTGAAGTACCCTCATATTACATTAAAAAGCCATTGAAGAAAGTGTCATTTGTAACACCAACCATCAGATGTCCAAAAACCAAAGTTTATGCTTATTCCTTCCTCTCTTCTAATACAGGCTGTTGATGGAGGAAGCTGTTGCTTCTCTGTCTTACATGCCCATGCCTTTATATATACTCTGCAATTTCACTTGACTTAATTGAATCGCTCACTTTAAGATCTCAATCCTTTAAAATGAGCCGTATGTTGTACGACCAAGTCTTTTTTAATTAGTCAATTTATTTATTTTATTTTTTATTTTATTTTTTTTACATTCTAAGATGTTGTGGAGTAATTGGAGAAAGGGGGAGGGGGGGAGGAGGAATAGGGTGAAAGGAGGAGGAAGGATGGGGATGTGGTTGAGGCCTGTGGTTGCCCCCTCATTCCACAGGGGAGCCCAGGGGGTTTCCAGCTGCTCAGTGGTCATTGCTGGGCTGGGTGTGGATGTTGGGGCAGGGAGGGCGTTACCGAGGCCCTGATGTTGGGGATGCATGGCTGAGGCCCTTGGCCCTTTTCCCACCCTGGTGTGGGAGCCTGGGGGGCTTCCTGTCCTTCTAGGCTTTATAGGTATTCTTTGGTGGCGCTAGACCTTTCCTAGTTAATATCAAATTTTTGTCTCTGATCTGTGGGATTTTTTGTTTTTTTCTTTCAGGTCTGTGCTGAATTATTAGCTCCCCCCACCACTTAAACTCTGCACTGGAACTAATTTGTTGTCCTTTGCTTAAATCTAAAATAGAGGAATTTCCCATGGGAACCAGCACTTGAGCCCTGTGGTTGAGCTAAATTGCTGCTTTGCTGCTGATTCCCTGGAGAAGGCTCTTTGTGCAGCTCAGGTTTTAATTGTTGACCTTGTAAGCACTTCTGGTTCTTGTGAGGACCAATACAACAAGGTTGTGTGGAAACTCTGGTCTGGACCTGAGTCTTTTCAGCAAACTGCACCCCCTGCAGTTCTATATTCCTGACCAGTCTCCACTGAGTGTTCCTGTGCTGACTGGGGGGTAGATCAGCTGTCCATGCTGTGCCCCAGTGTTTCCCTGGTGGGCCAGTCTCCCCCATCACCCGCACTCCAAACACTTCCCATGGGACAGGCCATGCTCCAGTCCCTTGCAATGACTCGCTGGCCTCTGAGTGGCTCCTTTTTTCAGTTGTCTGTGGCTTCTCACTCCTGTGTGGGTCCACGGCATCCCTCTTAGTGGTCTTGCTGGCCTAGGGGCCACCAAGACACTCTTTTCCCCTGTAGCCTCCAAGTAACTTCATATGAAGGGCACAGCAGCGGCTTTTGCTGGCTCTTGCTCATTGTGCCCACCAGGGCCAGCCTTGAAGTAGTGGGAGCAGTCCTTACTTTCTCTCGTCATGGCCTCTCCCACCTTCATGCACTCCATAGGTCTCTCCTCCTCTTCCCCTGAGCTCCAGCAGCCCCAGCTTGGGTGTCGTTGCTTTTTAATAATTGTCTAGTGTATTTTTTTAAATTATAGTAAAATGCACATGACAGAGTTTACCATCTTAACCATTTTTCAGTGTACAGTTCAGGAGTACGTACATTCACATTATTGTGCAACCAATCTCCAGAACTCTTTTCATCTTGCAAACCTCTGTGCTCATTAAACAAGAGCTCCCTAATTCCTCCCTCAGCCCAGCCCTGGCCACCACTATTCTTTCTGTCTCTGTGAGTTTAACCACTCTAAGTACCTTACATAAGTAGAATCATACAGTATTTGTCTTATTTCACTCAGCATAATATCCTCAATGTGCATCCATGTTGTAGTGAGTGTCAGAATTTCCTTCATTTTTAAGTTTGAATAATATTCCATTTTATGTATATTCCATATTTTTATATTCATTCACCTGTCAATGAACACTCGGTTTGCTTCCACATTTTAGCTATTCCAAATAATGTTGCTATAAACATGAGTGTACAAATATCTGTTTAAGACTCTGCTTTCTATGCAGAAGCAGGATTGCTGGATCACATGGAATTCTATTTTTAGTTTCTTGCAGAACCACCACACTGTTTTCCACAGCAGCTGCTCCATTTTACATTCCCACCAATAGTGCACAAGGGTTCCAGTTTCTCCACATCCTCACCAACACTTTTTATTTTAGGTTTTTGGTAATAGCCATCCTAAAGAGTGTGAGGTAGAAGAGTTGTTTTTATATAAAGATGGCTTAATCACCTTTGTGATGGTCTCTGTTTTTAAAACAAAGCGAACAAGAAACTTCTCTCCTTCCTTGCTCCACAACTAAGCCTACCTGGGCAAATGGACGGTCAAGTCAGTGATGGAGAAAGCAAACAGCTGCTCCTTGAGAGCAGCCGCAGCAAGACGAGCAGCGGCCTCTCTGCTCAGCACTTCAGTGTGCTACAATGGAAGAGGAGTTAGCCTGAAAGGCTGGAAGACTGGGCTCTCCTCCTTCACTCAAACAGTGACTGTATACTAATCACCTCTCATGCCATAGGCATTGCTCTAGATGCTGCAATTGCAGCATCAAACAAGAAGAGTGAGGCTCCTGCTCTCCTAGAGTACACATGCTAACAGACAAGGACAAATAATAACAAGTAAAGAAATAAGATAATTTAAGACAGAAATAAGTGCTGTGAACTATTAAAATAAAGAGGACCATAGGAGCTGAGCCCCTTGGCTGTGAGCCTTATGACCTAGAGTATCCTAAAAGTAAATTTATATTGTTACCTTTCAAGCTTCGTTCAACAATTATGTATTGAGCACCTACTATGTGCTATATCTTGGGATTTCAATTAAAGAGACAAAAGGATTATTCTGAAAATGAGATATGTATGAAGCACTTAGAGTAGGGTCTAAGCCTTCAATAGATGTTTACTATGTTATTATCATCTTCATCATTATTAAAATTATCTATAAAGTTTCTTCTATCTCTAAAAATTAAACATTCAAATTCCCCATCCAGATTAGGTTTTCCCTCCCCATCCCCACCATTCTTGTCTCCTTTTAAATAGTAGCCTTTAAGTCTTTGTCAATGTATCTTCCCTCTCATTTTTCCCTTAATTTTCACTGGCTTATTAGAGGCTGTTCATGATGGTGGTTAAGATTCTGGGCTCTGGAAACAGATTGCCTGGATATGCCTCCAAGCTCCCATCACTTTCTGGTTGTGTGGCCTCAGGCAAGTTACTGAACTTCTCTGTGCCTCAGTTTACTCATCTAGAAAATGGGGATAATAATAGTATGTACTTCCTACTGTTGTCTTAAGTATTAAAAAATACACCTATATAAAATGTCTGGCACTTAACAAGCATTCAATCAGTTTAACCCCAGTTATTATCAATATATGTAGCAAGTAACCTAAACATGCATCTGTAAACAACACACTCTCCCATCTCCTACCTCACCCCCCATCCACTTTTGCAGCCTGACCTCCACCATGGTTTACACTCCCCGGTCACGTGAGCCTGTCAAGTCTACGAAATTGTCCTCTAGTTTTGAATGGAATGCAAGTACATTTTTTTTTTTAAACCATATCACAATGCCTCTCTATCTGCTCCTTCCTTCCTAAAGTAAATGGCCAGAAAATTTAGCCTTGGCCTTCCATGACCACCAAGGCCTTCCCACAGGGCTTGTCTTTTTACTCCTGGTAGGGTCATCAAAATACATCCAACTTCTCTGCTGACCTGAAGCCTACAGTCTCCCTACCCCCTGGACTTGAATTACTGCCAATATGTGGCTCAAAATCATTCTAACTGATTTATTAATCAGGACCCCTGGCTTGTCTTTTTACTCCTGGTAGGGTCATCAAAATACATCCAACTTCTCTGCTGACCTGAAACCTACAGTCTCCCTACCCCCTGGACTTGAATTACTGCCAATATGTGGCTCAAAATCATTCTAACTGATTTATTAATCAGGACCCCTCCTACATAAATTCTTCCTGAGCAGCTGTTTCTGTTGTTTATGAAACGGATCCTCTCCTTAAAACTTTCCTTTAAAGGTCTTTCTTTTTCCTTCCTTCCTTCATGGGATCAACACAGGTTTTTCTTTTCTTGTCTCTTTCTCTGATGTACACACCCCTAGGATCATGAAAAGCAAAACAAAACCTTCCTCCTTTCCCTTACCTCCTCTTATTTCTTTTTTCTCCCCTCATCCTTCTTGCCTCTTGCTCCAGTTCTTCAGCTTTTTCCTGTCATACCTCATTTTTAAAATTTCAATTTGTAGCTGACTGCTGTCATTGACGATGTCCTTGACTCATGCCAGTAAAGGGACGAATGGTTTCACTCATGCCAGTAAAGGTGGACGAGTGTCCACCTTTCTCCTCTTGCAGCGTATCTTTCTTCTTTTGTTTTTAAACCTTGTCCCCAAAAGGTGGTCTCCCTGGCCATCCTTTCCTTCAGCTCTGGGACTGTCTTCAGAGATTTCGGAACGCACTATTTAACACACAGAAATCTATTTAATCATGAGCTGTCCACCGTGCTCTTCAAAGCACATGACTCATTTAATTCCCCAAATAAACCCAAGAGTACAAAATGAGGTATTCCTTGGCATCTTTTTTTCTTTTTTAATGAGAAAACAAAGAATTCAAGATATCAAGTAACTTGCCTAAGGTCACATAGGAAGTGGCAAAATGAACCCATAATAGTCCCCTGGTGGATGACTAAAACTGCAGACGGTACCTATGTACACTATGTACACTATGTTTTTCCTATACATGCACACCTATGATAAAGTTTAATTTATAAATTAGGCTTAGTAAGAGAATAACAACAATAACTAGCAATAAAATAGAACAATTA